CTCTTTCCCTTCAGAGGGGCTAAGACCATCAGGCACCGCGCGTGCGGGGGCGGGGGCGGGGCAGGCTCCAGGGACTTGGGCAAAATTACTGAGGCTAAGAGCGAAACGGGAGCAGGCCAAGGGATCGAGTAAAAATTTCTTGCATGCAGAAACATGACTGAAGAGAGGGTGCAGGCCAGGGTTAGGGGTTGTGATGAGTACTAGAAAGAAATGACAGGAGCCCATATGCAACACTCAGTAATATTAAGAGACGTACGCAAACCTCAGAATTTCCTACCAAATCTGAGTACTGATGGGCTCATTGGAGACAAGAAGGAAGCTTTGTAAAGCAGAGACACCACCATTCAAAACGGAATTTCTGATAGAATTCTGATCCTTGCGATTAGAGGTTGGAATAATCAAGAGTCTGAAGGGACAGAATAAAAATTTAGCTGAAGCAGTCTAAGTTCCAAGGTTTAAGAACCAAAACCAGTAAGGGGAGGTGAGGGAATGACACTAAGAGACACTGGAAGACTACAAGATTCACCAGACAAGGACATAGCCTCCCTCTTGGTTCACCTCAAAAAATAGATTTGGGGCAGAAGAGATGGCTCAGGTGGTGAAGGTGCTTGCTGCCAAGCCTGACAAACTGAGTTCTATCCCCTGAACTCATGAGGTGAAGGGAGGCTGTTGAATCTGACCCCCCCCCACCAGTGTCCTCTGGCCTCTATGTGCACACATACATAAATAAATAAAGGGAAAAAATAGATTTGGAGAGCAGAAGTTAGGTAGAGAATTGGAAATTCCTTTTTATGTGTACACAGATACACAGTCACCTTTGGGCCAAGGTGACTTAAAAGGTTGACCCAAGTTAACCAGTATCCATGAAGTCAAGGGTCAAGAACTGACTATCCCACTAATAATGATTATAAGGGGGCTTGTGAGATGGCTCAGCAGGTAAAGGTGCTTGCTGCCATGCCCAAGGACCTAAGCTCAAACCACAGTCCACACACAGAGGACGAGAACTCCTCCAAGTTATTCTCTAACCTCCCTTCTGTCGTCTCTTTCTCACTTGCTCACACACACACACAAAAAAAGTACAAAAATAAATGTAATTTTAAAAGATTAGAAGACTGTTGAATCATGTTCCGAGACCAGCTTATCTACAAAGGCCTATGTATCTATCTACATGGTGTAGAAGCCAAACAGGATGAAGCAGGAAATTCCTCATAACCTCCTACTCAATGAAATCATGTTTAGAATCTGTTCACAACGGCAATGATTAGGTAAACAAAATAAAGGTCTCAGCATCTTTCTGTTTATGTCATTCAATGATCTTGAGCCCTGGGGTCAATATGGAAAGACAATCCAATGGACAAAGGATCCTTTGCAAAGGGAACCTACAAAATATCTTTTCAAGGAATGGGACTCTTGGCAGTGAGGAAGGGGTAAAGACAGAGCTTTCTGGCATGGTGATACTCTGACTCTTGGGAGGAGAAAGGAAAGAGAGTGGGGCCACAAGAAGAGACAAGGGATAGAGGCACATCACAAACTTGTCCCAGTAGAGGGAGGATACCAAGAGTACCTAGACCAGGAAGTCAGTCTGTTAATCTGAATGCCCAGAAAATCTTCATTGGAGTGGAAGAATAGGTATAAGGTATTGTGTCAGGCAGGAAGGGGATAGGAAACATGCTAGCATCTGTAACAAAAGGAAAAACACTCTATTAAGGGTATTTTGACTCCAACTTTAAGGATATATACTTCAACTCCCCTTTGGCTACTCACCTTCACTTGGTCAAAAGCTACTTCAAATAAATATCCAGGCTTCCCCATCCCAGTAGAAAAGAGCAAAAACACAAAAGCAAAGGTCAAGTGATTAAATAGAACTATCTTATAGATTTATTAATGAAAATACTTTACAAAAAAACAGTAATGTTTTGCCCTAAAATAGTTTAGCTGACTCTGAGGGATTACAATGGTGACTGAGCAAGTGGCAGTAATGGCTCTGCTGCTGAGGGCAGGAGGGTATGTTAGTGTGCCTGACTCCATCTGTTCAGAAGGGCAAAATTTATGTTGGCAGCTCAACATTCTAGGACTAAGGTTTGAGTCACAAAGACAGCTGACAGGCCATAATACCTGGGCATGGGGGCTGGTCTTACTGATGTGGTCAGGACCATAACCACATGGAAGACGATTCCTTCAAATGATGGGAAATAAGGAAGAAAGAGGCTCGTTACAGGGATAGGTAAACAAGAGTCTGAGGTTGGAATATAGTAGGGACAGGAAGATGAGGGCTGAAGTGCAGGTGGAAATGGAGCATAACAATAACCAGAAACAAAATGATGACCTCAAGACACAAGGAATAGGTAGTTATCCAGAAAAATATAATGAATTCAACTCTAAAGTGGGTCAAAACCCTAAATATCAGCTAATTCCTTTTACCAGAGGAACCAAAGTTTGAATTTTCTTTCTTCCTTTTTTACTTCCCCTCACAGGGTCTCATATAGCCCAGGCTGGGCAAGAACTTGCTATGAAGCCAAAGATGAACTTCAACTGCTGGTCCTCCTGTCTTTACCTCCCAAGTGCTAAGATAACCGGTATATGCCACCATGGCTGGTTTTACAAGGTGCTAAACATCTAACCCTAGGGCTTTGTGCGAGTTAGGCAAACACTCCATCACATGAGCTACATCCCCAGCACAAAAGGTAGAATTTCAAATATTCCCTCTCAAAGAACCAGATACCCCTAAGAGAAATTTACAAATATTTTGTTGCTGTTTTGGGTTTTTTTTGTTTTTGTTTTTGTTTTTTTTTATCTTTTTGAGACAGGGTCTCCCTGTAGCCCCAGCTGTCCTGGAACTCACTATGTAGACCAGGCTGGCTTTGAACACACAGAGATCCACCTGCCTCTGCCTCCCAAATGCTGGGATCAAAGGCCTGTGCCACCATACCTGGCACTGATTTTTTTTTTTTTAAATACTATCTCTTAGCTGGGCATGGTGGCACATGCCTTTAATCCCAGCACTAGGGAGGCAGAGGCAGGCAGATCTCTGTGAGTTCAAGGCCAGCCTGGTCTACATAGTGAGTTCCAAGACAGCTGGGGCTACAGAGAGACCCTGTCTCAAAAAGAAAAAAAAAAAAAGATCTCCTGACTCTACTTCCCAACTGCTGGGATTGCAGAAATGTGCTGCCTGGATGGAAACTGCCAATTCGAAGTTGAGATGAGAATAGCATGATTATGGCAGGGATGCAAAACATTAACTCTGCTAGTCATTTTGGAGAGAATAGTGTATGGCTCAGGAAAGGTAAGAGAAGACCCTTACCACCTGCTGTGCTGCAAAAATCTAGCCCTGTTCTGCTCTCTTCCAGGGGCATCTGCTAAAACAAACAGAATTCTCTCCTCTCCTGTCCTTCTGTGCCTAGACTGGGAGGCATAACTGTTTTGCCTCCAGTCGTCATCTGGAGGCATATCCACTCTTCGAGGACCAGGTGTTCGGGACCCCAGAACAGGACCTAAATTCCAAGCTGACATTGGGGCTAAATGAAGACTACTGGATGATGGAGACATTGGATGGACACCAGGAGGGTGGGAGAGTGAATGGAAAAGATCCCCCTGGGACTGAGCATGAGGAACCTGAAGGCCCTGGCTTCTTTCTGATAATGTGGCAGTGTGGGTTAGCTGAGGTTTGAATGCTGGAGTAGTTAAGACTCTGGCCCCAACGTGCTGGTTGGTCTCTGACCACGGTGCCCAGAAAGCATCAGTTCTGGAACGATGGGGGAGACTTCGGTAGTTCCAAGTCCTTCCTGTGTACTTGACCCCTTGGGAAGTTTCACCCCTGTCACACATAGCCAGAAACTGTTGGACACTCCTCGAAGTTCCTGAGAAAAGAAAAAAAAAAAAAGCACAAAGACTAAGCATCTACAGAAAATAATTTTCTTTCCCAGAGGACCATTCCTGGTTATTCTGTCCAATTCTTCACTCCTCAAGAACACACACACTTACTTTATATCTATTTCCCAGTATTTGGGATTGTACTTAGGGCTGTATGCATGCTACATAAGCATTCTACCACTGAGCTATTTAGCCCTAAATATTCTTAATATTATATCAAAGTCGATTCTTTTATCTCTACCTTGGGTAAATGAAATAGTCTCTTAAATGTTGCTGTATCCTGTTTCCACTATAATCCCTTCTCCAACACGTGCACGCATACACACACACACACACACACGCACAAATGGCTTTTTAATATAGCAAATATATTCCTCTTGCAAACTCCTATAGTACTGTAATATCTTACTTAGCTATTCTTTTTTTTCCAATTTTTTTTGTGTATGTGTGTGAGTAGTTATGCCTGAATGTATGTAAGTGCAGTCTGTCCTCCATGTTGTGCAGTGCCCATGGAGGACAGAAGAGGGGGTTGGATCCCCTGGAACAGGAGTTATGGACAGTTGTTAGCAGCTATGTGGGTGCTGGGCTTCAAACTCAGGTCTTCTGCAAGAACAGCCAGTGCTTTTAACCACTGAACATCTCTCCAGCCCCTCATTTGGCTATTCTTAACATGGTACCTTCACTCCAGTTAGGCTGCTCCTGCTTAAATTCTTGTTTAATATCTGAGGTCTCTGCATTTGTTCATACCAGGCCTCTCCCATACACAATGTAGAAGGTATTTTCTAAAATGTCTTTCACCATGGCACTAGTGACAATGTGGGCTGCTAACTCTTTGCTGGGGCGGGTACTGTCCTGTGCAATATTGTCGTTTAGCAGCATCTTTGGCCTCCATCCATTAAATTCCAAGTATTATGTTCTTTTTTTCCTACTGAGCACCACTACCATAAAATGTAAAGTAGCCGGGCATGGTAGCGCAGGCCTGTAGTTCCAGCACTTGGGAGGCAGAGACAGGCGGATCTCTGTGAGTTCAAGGCCTACCTAGTCTACATAGTGAGTTCCAGGCCAGCTGGGGCTGTAGGGAGACCCTGTCTCAAAAAGACCAAGGAAAAAAAAAAAAAGTAAACCCATGAGGAGGGAAAAAGAAACCGTCCTATGTAGGGCAGTGAAAGCCAGAAGGGTGCTGCCCACCTTCCACAGGACCATCTGAGCCTGTACATATGACGTGAGTTCTCCAAGCAGTCTTTGCCGTCTTCCCTTCACTCTTGTCCTTCTATACCATCCCTCAACTGAAACTCAGTAAATAGCAGGGGAGAAAACTAGCTAAAAAGACATAGAACTTTGGTTTAGGGGAACATCCCAAAGACTAGGTAGTAGCTGCTTTGGTCACTTAAAAGTTCATTCTCATGAGTGCCCAGACCTAGGGTGTACCAATTTAGACCCTTATCTAAGAAACATGGTACCTAAAGATTAGTCAATCATCCTCATCAAGATCAATACCTGAACTTCAAATAGTAATCCATATCATTACTCCATTCCACCTTAGGACACCCCACCTTCCCAACAGCTCTACTGATTTAACTCAGAAAGGTACATTTTAGCAGATAATATTAGATTGGGGGAAGTTACCTGGGGGTCTACAGGGTTCCCCTGTCATGTTGGGCATCAGGACATCTGGGGACAGGAACTGTGCTTGGGGAGGGTAGAGTTGGGGATCAAGGAGAAATACAGGAGGGTCATGGATGACAGGGAGGGAAGAGGAGCTGGAACAATGGTGCCCGATTTCCAAAGTCTTTTTCCTCACGTTTGATGAATCCTTATAATGAGACAAGACAAAAAACACAAAGATGATTAACACACAGTAGGATGTGGCTGGATAAACACAGTGAGGCAAACACGGGCAAATGGAAGGAACCAGAGCACAACATACATTTTCTAGAGAGACCCAAATTACTCCACCACTCTCCCTGTCAGCCTTTCTAGGAAACTCCAAAGTTCAGATTCTCTTCATTCACCAGTTTTCATCACATCCCCTACATTCCTAAGTCTACCATTCAGATCTTTAGCAAATGCTCTAATGCTATGTGGCCACTGGTGGCACCCACGGAACCTGAATGGATTACCACAGAGCTGAAAATAAACCAGGGGACCCAGGTTTTCCATGCACCTGTATTAGCAGCTCTCCTTTTATTCTCATACTTGTGAGAATCAGTCACATGTCTACATAACTGAACAATAATAAAATAACCTCATACTCATGAGAACCACAGTCAAACGTTCACAGAACACTGAATAACAATAATATGGCTAGAATATACCAATTCAACAAAATAAGATGAACATGTCAACAGCATCTCCATGCCATGTCTCCTTAGGAAGACAGCTTGTTCCATGAGAAACCAAAGGGGGAAGTGGCATTCCAGAGATAATGCCCCACCAAGCATTCTTGCATAAACTTTCTCACAAGACACAAGGCTCTCCAGACATACATGCTCGAGGTACAGCTTAATTCACCAAGTACAGTTTTAAAGTCATAGGAACACTATTTCACAATCCCTTCAATGCCAAGGTAGAATTAAAGAAACTGAAATAGAATTTTAAAAACAGGGGCCAAGGGCTGGGCATGATGATAATCACATGTGATCACCTGTAATCATAGCACTCAGGAGACTGAGGCAGGAAGACTGCGGTGAGTTTGTAGCCTGGGCTACACAGGAAGACCCTATCTCAAAAACATAAAAATATAAAATGCCAAAGACAACCAAATAGGGTTGGGGGTATGCCTCAGTGGTAGAGCAAGCCCTGGGCTGACTCCCTTGTACCACAAGAAATAAATTAAAAAAGAAGAGGATAGGCAAGGAGAGAAAGGAGTAGGGTAGGTACTGAAAAAGACTAGGAACCAGGGCATGGTGATGCACACTTTTAATCCCAGCACTCAACACTTTGGAGGCACAGAGAGGCAGATCTCTGTGAGCTGAACACCAGCCTGGTCTACATAGAGAATCTCAGAGCTGCACAGTAAGACTCTCTCTTAAAAAAAAAAAAAAAAAATAAAAAAAAAAAAAAACAGCAATGTATTTTCAACAGCAGAAAGGGAAAAAAACGGGAGAGGAAGTCCTGATCCTCTTGCACGTAGTTGCTGCTGCTGCTGCTGTTTTCACCAAAAGAGTTCGATGACTTCCCAATACAGAGGACAAAATGATGAATGGAACTAACTCTATCCACTGAGATACAGAAGGAGGCACTCACTTGATCTTTTACCTTCTGTCTTGCCAGTGCTACCATCCACAGCCACCTCTTCTGTATGGTACTTTTGTATTCCCAAATGCTTCTGTCCTGCTCTACACTGTATTCACTTATGTGGTAAAGACCCAGAAATATCATCTTTATCATCTGAAACACTAAAATATCCAAAATTAAACAAACAGTTTTCCAACCTTCTCCTCCTCATACCACATTTTCCGAAGTCCCTCAGACACAAACACTGGCATTGTCCTTGCCTTCCTATTTCCCATTCATAATTCTATTATTTACCAAGTACTGACATTTCTTCTATGAAATATTTTATTATTTTTATTTTATGTGTATGAGTGTATTGCCTACATGTATGTAAGTACACCTATGTTGTACAGTGACCACAGAGGTCAGAAGAAGGTGCCAGATTACCTTGGACCTGGAGTTAAAGATAGTTGTTAGCCTCCAGGTGGGTGCTGGGAACTGAACTTAGGTCTTCTGCAAAAGTAGCCAGTGCTCTTAACTGCGCAGCAATCATTCTCCAGCACCACAAGTACTGACGTTTCTACTTGTGAATTTCATATTTAAATTTGCATTGAAAAAGCCTTTAATCCAAAATTCCCAGCTCCTGTTACCTACTTACTGTGACCTACAAGTGACACGGGATGGATGAGCTTTCTTACTTACTCCCCTATCTTTTCAGTTCCTTTTACATATTCTTTTTTAACTATTTTATTATTTTTATTTTAAGTGTATGAGTGCATTGCCTGCATGTAGGTAGGTGCACCTGGGTTGTGCAATGCCTGTGGAGGTCAGAAGAGGGTGTCGGATCTTCTGGAACTGGAGTTACTGATAGCTGTTAGCTGCTATGTAAGTGCTAAGAATCAAATCTGGGTCCTCTGCAAGAGCGCCCAAAGTTCTTAATCACTGAGCCATCTCTCTAGCCCTTATATATTCTTTTTATTATTATTTAGTAGTAGTAGTAATACTAATTCTGAAGACAACATCTTGTTATGTAGACTAGGCTGTCTCAAACTTGAGATCCTTCAACTTCAGCCCAGTCTCAAGTACAAGGTATCACAGACAAGAACCATATCTGGCCCTTTATATTTCTCAAACTTACCAACTCATCCTACCTCAGAGCCTTTAGTATTCTGTTACCAGGAATTTTCTCTTATGACTCAAACCTTCATATCTCTGAGATCTCTGATCAAATGTTACTTCTTCTCAAAGCTGATATGTCTCATTACTCCATCAAAAAACAGACACTCTTACATCTTTAATTCCTTTATTTTAACATAATTACAATTGTCTGGGTTAGATTATTTGTTATTTATTGCCTTTCTTCCTATAGCAGAATACATTTCATTTCAGTATCCGTAACACTTGGCATAATGCAAGTACATACTAAATAATATGTTAAAAAAAAAAAAAAAAACAATCTAGCCGGGTGTGGTGGTGCACACCTTTAATCCCAGCACTCGGGAGGCAGAGGCAGGTGGATCTCTGTGAGTTCAAGGCCAGCCTGGTCTACATAGTGAGTTCTAGGACAGCTGGGGCTACAGGGAGACCCTGTCTCAAAAAAGACCGAAAAAAAAAAAAAAACAATCTAGGGGCTGGAGAGATGATGATGGCTCAGTGGTTAAGAGCACTGACTGCTCTTGCAGAGGACCCGGGTTTGATTCCCAACACCCACATGGCGGCTATGAACCTTCCTTAACTCCAGTTCTAGGGGAATCTGACACCCTCTTCTGACTGCTGCAGCACTGCACAACACGGGTGTACTCAACATACATGCAGGCAATACATTCATACACATAAAATAATTAAAAATTTAAAAAACAATCTGTATGAAAGTATATTTAATTTCCTTTAACAGGCTACAAGCTACTTAAGGCCAGAATCTGTGTTACATCCTCAGTTACTTGCATATAATTATGAGTACTAAGGAAAATCTGTTTCACACACACAAAAAAAGAAATTTCTAATAGAATAATGCACTTCTTGTTTTCCCTTTGGATTTTCTTGTCTCCCTGTTTCCTTTTAAGCTTCTTCAGAAAAATAACTGACCTGAACCTGACCCTTTTCAAAGGTCATTGCTTCTTTTCTGTCTTTCTTTTTGTTTGGTATTTTTGAAACACGGTCTCCCTATAGCCCCAGCTGTCCTGGAACCTACTATCTAGACCAGGCTGGTCTTGAACTCACCAAGATCCAGCTGCCTCTGCCTCCCAAGTGCTGGAATTAAAGACATGTGCCACCACACCTGGTCCGAGACCACATTTTTTTTTTTTTTTTTTAAAAAGGCATATGTTCATTCATTTAGGAACTTAAATACTATGAATTGAAGGGGGTGGTGAGTTCCTTTTGGGAAGGAAACTGGATCTGAAGGGCAGGTAGGTATCCTTTTGAACTTTTAAAAATTGTGCCATATATTTAAATATTTTATCTATTTTTTAAATATTTATTATTTTTATTTCATGTGTGAGTGTATTGCCTGCATGTAAGTACACCCATGTCATGAAATGCCCGAGAAGGTCAGAAGAGGGCGTTGGATCCCTTGGATCTGGAGTTACAGACATTTATTACCCTGCATGTGGGTACAGGGACTTGATCCCAAGTTATCTGCAAGAGCAGTCAGTGCTCTTCACCACTGAGCCATCTCCCCAGCCCATATTTTTATTTTCATGAGTGTTTTGCCTGCATGTGTGCAACTGCACCTGTGTTGTACAATGCCTGCAGAGGTGAGAAGAGGGTGTCAGACCCCTGGAACTGGAGTTACAGATGGTTGTTAGCTGCAATGTGGGTAACTGGGAATTGAACCCAGGTCCTCTGCAAGAGCAGCCAGTGCTCTTAACTGCTGAGCCATCCTCCAGCTCCATTTGTACTATGTATTTAAAGGGTCTGGAGTACAGTTCAGTGGTAGGGGTGCTGCCAAGCATGCGTCAGGTTCTAAGTTCAATCCTGGTACTGCAAATAAAAAATAAAGTAAAATAAAGCTTGTTTTTACATTTTTATTGAACTGACCTGGGACACAGGCTTGAATGCATCAGCTTTGTATCCTGACTTGTATAGTAATGAAAACTCAACTTGTCTTTTTTTTCGGTCTTTTTGAGACAGGGTCTCCCTATAGCCCCAGCTGTCCTGGAACTCACTATATAGACCAGGCTGGCCTCAAACTCACAGAGATCCGCTTGCCTCTGCCTCCCAAGTGTTGGGATCAAAGGCGTGCCACCACCATGCCTGGCAACTCAACTTGTCTTAAACAAGAGTATGAAATTCTCCAAAGACTTGATTAGATGGAAGCCTAGGCAATGAGATAGTATTTGAGTTTGGTGATTGTTGAACCCAACTGGTTTGGATTGCCTTCCACTTATGCCTCAAGAAATTGAGTGTGATGCTACATGACTGTAATCCCCAAACTTTGGAGGCAAAAGGTACACAAGTTCAAGGCCAGAATGGTCTACATATCAAGTTTTAGACCAGCAAGGGCAATGTACATAGGACAACCCTGTCTCAGAGGAAACCAAAATACATAAATGTATAAATAAAATAAATTTAAAATAATAAAAGGCACAGAGAGGATATTGAATCATTTTTCTTTTCTTGCTACTGTACACACTTCACTTTTGATTGAAAACTTACTAGACCCCATTCAGTCATGTACTGAGGAGGGAAGGAAAACAATACTACATCCAGTCTGTCTCCTTCCTGTCATGAATACAACAATGTTTCTGACCCAATCAGCAGCTTTGGCTTCTCAGATTCTACTTAAAGGCATCCATGACTCCAGCTATGGTTTAGATGAAATTTCCCCCTAAAGGCTCACATTTTGAAGGTTTAGGCCCTAGCTGGTAAATCCAATCACTGAGAAGTGACTGGATCTTATGAGTGCCATCTGCATCAACAGATTAATTCATTCATGAACACACTGGCTAGTGGGAGGCCTGGCCTAGTTGGAGAAAGTAACTCACTTAGAGGTGTACCTCTGAAAAGTATACCTGTCCTCAGGTCCTTCCTGTCACTGTAGTAGTGCTTCATTGCTTCATGAAGTAAAGAGCTCTTCCCCACTGTGCCCTCTCTAACATAAGATTCTGCCTCCACTCAGGTCCAAAGCGATGGAGCCACCAAACATGGAGTGAGACCTCTAAAAACAAAAGTCAAAAATAAATCCTACCTCCCATGTCTTCTCAGCTGTGTTGTCAGAGAGGAGAGTTAACATAGCTCTTCACAGCCTAGGAAGACTTATAAACATGCTTTCAAAACTGCTCCAGAAAAATCAACATTCCTCTGGACTTCATGTATGTATATGTAACTAAGGATCATGTGTTCTTACTTTTGGTGAAAGTATGTTTCCCCAAATTACTACCTTGGTTTCTCCCTGCTCCTTTACCTATACTATATTTTTACTAGCAAGAAGGAAGGTGCTCTGAAGAGATGAATCCTAATTCTACTTACAAAACTGTGAGAACAGACTTGTGCCTCCTCCCTCTCTGAGACAACGGTGCCACTGAGATTGCGTGAGATGCGGCGAAAGTTCTCTGCACTGTACTGTTCATCCTCCCCATATTCCCTGCTGAGGCCTCGGCAAGCTGCAGCCTTAAACACACAGACACACACAGGCAGACACATGACATCAGACCTGTGTTTTTCTCCCCGAGGGCCTGTCCTCAGGAATTTGAGAAAACTGGCTAAAACATACTAGTAAATACCTAAATTAGACAGATTTGAAAGGTAGTTGCCATGGGAATAATCTCTTCTGAAAAGCAGCCTGATCTCAGATCATGCTCTCTTCAGAAGCCCCATCCTCACTATGTGTCTGCCTTACTATCACCCCTACCACTCACTTCTCTCTCTAGCAACCACCCAGGTCCTGCACCTTAGCACTAAAGCTACCTGAGATGCAGGCACAGTGCTTGTTTCATGGAAAACGTGCTCCATTTCTGTTGTCGGGGTCTTTGAGAGATGAAGACCAGGGGCAGAGTGCAATCTCCTCCCCATGCCATCTGCAGAGCCTAAGGAGGAAAACAAAAACAAGTTGAAGCCATCTTTCTTCTATAGCCTAAAATCTGAGGCTAGCATCACAAACATAGTTCTTCTAAGTAATTACTAGGCATCCTTCAGTCCACTGGGGAAGTATGCTCCTAGAATATAGAAATAGTCATTTTATGAATATGGCTTAATTCCTATAGGCCACAAGGACCAAAACCACTGAAGAATTTTGTAGAAAAGGAGCTCTCTGGACAGACAGCTAAACATTCCCTATCCTACCACATTTCATTTTATAAACAGTTTCTTTTGGAGTTGGGTCCAATACTACTTATAATATGTAGGGAATCTTATATGACAAAGTAATCTAGAAACTATAATATTAGTTCTAGTTCAGAATTTAAATGGTCATAGTCAGTACAAATCAAACCTCGTTTGATATAATAAGAAAATGAGTTGTAGGGTCTGATACAGGTAGTGGTTGTTTTTGGTTTTTTGTTTGGTTGTTTTGTTCTTGTTGTTGTTGTTGTTGTTATTGTTTTGTTTTTTTTTGAGACAGAGTCTCCTATAGCCCCAGCTGGTTTGGAACTTGCTATAGGCCAAGTTCGCCTTGATCTCAGAGAAATCCATCTGCCTCTGCCTCCCAAGTGCTGGAATTAAAAGTGTGAGCCAATATGCCTGGCACAGGCAGTGCTTAAACCAGGATGAAAATTCAAGCCTTTTAATTTTCAGCACCATACTCTATCATTTCTTGCTGCCCTCCACTAACTCTCTGAGCAGTATCACTTCAAGAATATTTGGCATATGTAATGTTCTTTTATCCCCACACTCCCAACTTTTCTCAATCATCTAAACCCTAAACAATCATTAATGTTACACTAAACTGAATATGTGACTCCCAAGAGGCTGTCCCCAATCCAATCCAACTAATTAAATCTTATGAAAATGTACCTGCCTTTGACCTACATTTCACACAGACACATACACACAGACACACAGACACACACACACACACACACACACACACACACACACATATCCATGCCAATCCCTGTCTGAAATTGATATTTTGATTCAATATACAACATGCACACACACAGAGCTTAAGTATAATACTGCTATTGTAAGCACTGTAGAGCAGTTACTGTTAACATTTCTTGGTACTTAATATAGTGGTTCTCATACCAATACTGGGAGCTTTAATCCCAGCACTCGAGAGGCAGAGGCAGGCAGATCTCTGTGAGTTCAAGGCCAGCCTGGTCCACATAATGAGTTCCAGGACAGCTGGGGCTACAGGGAGACCCTGTCTCAAAAAGATAAAAAAAAAAAAGTGTACCTTCAAAAGGACTGGAAATATAGCTCAATGGTAGAGCATTTGCCTAGCATGCATGAGGTTCTGAGGATTCAATACATAGGGGAGGGGAGAGTCCTTCCTTGGCCTCACTACAGATCTGACTCAGAATGTTTCTGGTTGAACCTTGGGAATCTATACTTTTAAAGGGCCTTCCAAATTATAAAGAAAGAATTTTAGTTGAGCATGGCAACACAAACACGCAATCCCAGCATTTGGGAGGTAGAGGCAGGAGGATGAGGATGAGGATGAAAAGGGAGGGTGGGAAGGAAGTGAGGGGAGGGAGGGAGGGAGGAAAACAAAATCAAAAAACAATAAAAGCCCCCTCCAAGGTGTGTGAAAATATCCTTGAATACTACTGAAAGAAATTTTACAGCATTGCTAAAAGCAAACATTAAAAGTGAAAATATACTCCCAGCAATTGCAGGCTGGCCTGGGTTGCAGGGAAGGAAAAAAAAAGTGAAAATATATGAACTTTTACCCAACAAATCTACTCCTGGGAATAAGAAGGAAAAAACACCAGTTCATGACATTATATCCATAAAGATGTCATTGTCTCCTCCCCACCCTCACATTCCTACATAAGTAGTAGCCATTGGAATATTCCCATGAGAGTAGATTCTGATTCTTTTGTTTACTCTTTTGTTTTGTTTTGTTTTGTTTTGTGAAATAGGCTTTCAATATGTAAAAGCCCAGGCTAGCCTCAAACTCCCATCTCAACTTGTACAAGAGTATGCTTCCATAGCACACCTGGATATGCATTCTAATTAGTTTAAAGATATTTAAACAGGGGGCTGGAGAGATGGCTCAGTGGTTGAGAGCCATGACTGCTCTTGCAGAGAACCAAGGTTCGATTCCTTAGGCAACACACTCATACACATAAAATAAAAGTAATAAATAAAATATTTTTTTAAAAGAGATATTTAAAAAGGAGCAGGAAAGAGGGCTAAGAGCAAGTACTGCTCTTTCAGAGCACCTGTATTCATTTCTAGCAACCATATGGCAGCTCACAACTACCTACAACTCCAGTTCCAAGGGATCCAACACCCTCTTCTGGCCTCCACAGGCTCCTGTGCACACATAAAACCCACACAGGCTTACATACACACATAAATAAAAAATTTAAATATTTAAATAAAATATTTAAAGATATTTAAATAGCAGTAGAAGTGGTTATCTGTAAGGATTGCTGTTGAAGAGACTTCTACATTCAACAAAAGATATGGTTAACTGATCAAATATACTAAAAAAGAAAAACCGCTAGATATTACGTAGATCTTGGTATGGTATAAGAACTGAATGTTCTTGGACTGGATAGACGGCTCAGTGGTTAAAAGCACTAGCTGCTCTTGCAGAGAGGACTGGGGTTCAATTTCCAGAACCCACATGGTGACCAACAATTGTTCGTAACTCCAGTTCCAGGGGATCCAACGCCCTCTTCTGGCCTCCTCGGGCTCTGTATCACACAGATGTACTTATATACATGCAGGTAATAGATTCATACACATAAAAAAACAAAAAGAAGCCGGGTGTGGTGGCGCACGCCTTTAATCCCAGCACTCGGGAGGCAGAGGCAGGCGGATCTCTGTGAGTTTGAGGCCAGCCTGGTCTACATAGTGTGTTCCAGGACAGCTGGGGCTACAGGGAGACCCTGTCTCAAAAAGACATAAAAAATAATAATAATAATAATAATAATAATAAATAAAAGTTAAAAACCTGAATATTCTCATTTTTAAAAACTGAACTTGAGGGCTGGAGAGATGGCTCAGCGGTTAAGAACACTGGTTGTTCTTGTAGAAGACCCAGGTTCGAATCCCAGCACCCACATGGCAGCTAACAACTCTCCGTAACTCCAGTCCCAGGTGAGCTGGGAGTATATCTCAGTAGTATAGTATTTATTATCAAGGCCTTAAATTCAATTCATAGCCACCTCCCCCCCAAAAAATGTTTAATAATTTTAGGGGAAAAGTATGATGCAACAAGTCTAGCATGTCAACAAAATGTATCATATATTTTTAATTGGGAAAATGTATGGTATATAAATTATATACTAATAAAGCATTTAAATTTTCAAAAATTTATTTCTGTTTTTTATGTGTACGAGTGTTTTGTCTGCATGTATGTAAGTGCACCCATGTCATGCAAAGCCAGAAGAGGACATCAGATCCCCAGGAACCAGAGTTACAGGCAGTTGGTATTCACCATATGGGTGCTAGGAATAGAACCCGGGTCCTCTGCCAAGAGCAGCCAGTGCTCGTAACCACTGAGCCATCTCTCCAGTCCCAGCATTTAGGTTTTTTTTTGGTCTTTTTGAGACAGGGTCTCCTGTAGTCCCAGCTGACCTGGAACTCTTAGTAGACCAGGCTGGCCTTGAACTCGAGATCCACTTGCCTCTGCCTCCCGAATGCTGAGACTAAAGGCGTGTGCCACCACACCCAGCTCAGCATTTAGGTTTTGTTCTGGCATTCTGGTGCTTATTAAATTACAGTAAAACAAGGAGTCTACAAAGACTGTACTTTTTCATGTATGGATCCTAATCAGCATTTTCCTGCATTATCTACTTCCTGATTAATCTACCCTATCACTTTTTGCTCTATATCATGTCAGTTCCTAGATCTCTTTCTAATTTAATGCTTGGTAGGTATCTTTTAATAATGTTGAATAAAGTATAATCTTCCAAAGACTAAATCATTCATATCAACAGATGTTTTTCCAAAGTTTATAGGCTTAACCTAGTCATTACCCTTCTAATGCTTTATCCTAAAAAGTTTATCAGGAATGTGACCAAACACTTAAATGCAAACATATTCATCATGGTGTTGTGATGTATGAAAATACTGAAAGGGGCTGAGAATGTAGCTTAGTGGTAGAGTACTTGCTTTCATGTGTCAGGCCTTGAGCTCAGTTCTCCATCCATTAAAAAAAAATAACCTTGCCGGGCGTGGTTCTTAACCGCTGAGCCATCTCTCCAGCCCCATAAAATTTTTTTTTTTAAATTCAAGTTGCTCAATTTTATAATTCATTATCTTGTATATTACTATTATTATTTTGTTTATTTACTCTATGTGTGTATATATGTCATGCCACAGGGGGTATGTAGAGGTCAGAGGACAACCAGGTGGAGTCAAATCTCCCCATCCACCTTTATATGGGTTCTAGGGATCAAACTCAGGTTGCTAGACTTGTGCAGGAAGCGTCTTTACCTACTAAGCAATCCTGCTGGCCTGATATTATTATTCTTTAAATCCTTAATATTTTTCAAAAATTTTAATGTTTGTGGGATTGGAGAGATGGCTCAGTGGTTAAGAACACTGGCTATTCCTGCAGAAGACCTGGGTTCAAATCCCAGCACCCACATGGCAGTTAATTGTCCCTAACTCCAGTTCCAGGGGATCCAACCACCTCTTCTGTCCTTCATGGGCACTGTACAACACAGGCTCACTTACGTACATGCAGGCAATACATGCATACACGTAAAAATTTTTTTTAATTAATTTATAAAAAAAAAATTAGGGGCTGGAGAGATGGCTCAGTGGTTAAGAGCACTGGTTGTTCTTGCAGAAGACCCGGGTTCGAATCCCACCACCCACATGGCAGCTAACTGTCTATAACTCCAGTCCCAGGGGATCCAACAACCTCTTCTGACCTCCTAGGGCATTGCATGACATGGGTGCACTTACCTACATTCAGGTAATACATGCATACACATAAAATAAAAATAATAAAATTTTTAAAAAAATTTTTAATGTTTGTGTATTCTTTCTCTTACATCAGAAGAAAGTACACTGAAGTAGATTCTAGCGTTCCGCTCATTCTATAAAATCTTCCTATGACATGTACTGTGTACCTAAAAAGTACTTAGTATATGCTGTTATAAAATCTACACTGGAATGCAGAGTCTCAGAAACACATAATATCAAATCTTAGATCTATGTGGTATCCCCCAAAGTGCCAAGGAACATTCACAGCAGTTCGTATAAAGATATGGAAGGTCTTGACACTGTGAGCTAGGTCTGAAAATGGCATACTAGACACTTGGCTCAGTATGGACATTCCTGTTGTAAAATGAACCTGGAGCCTGAATCTTGGGATTCATTTAGCATCTAAACCATAAGAAGGATGACTTTTCCTCTCAGTCTTCCCCATTTCATGCTGTCACCTCCAAAGACCTGTGAATCAATTCCTTTGTACTACATATCAGAGAACCCACAGGCAAATAAGTGGTCATTTTCCTTTAAGGAAGGAATTTCTCTGAGTGAAAATTCTGCCCCCATCTTCATTCTGACCAGAAAAAAAAAAAGTCTAGCCTTTGTCCTGAAGGGTTTATGAATAAAGTCGGAAGTTCTGTTGGCTCTTACTATGCTAGGGATTCTCGGTACAAAACACAGTCTCTCCTCAGACCTTATTCTCCTGCTTTGAACTTTCGCATATTCCCCACCATTGGTGGTATTCTTACCTGTATGGTTAAGTGGCTGCCAATCCACATTCTGCTGTCTCCATCCAGAACAGCCAGTTTGAGAGGTCTGAAGACTGGCCTGGAAGAGAGACTCCAATTCTGAGGTCTCTTGCTCTGTGTCTTGGTTCCAGTGTGGATGCAAAAGGATGTGATTTCTCTCTGGATAGGTTACACAGGTATGAGAGTCATGGGAGGAGGACTGGATTCCAGGCCCAGGAACTCTATGTTTAATCTGAGAATCATAGAGCCTTGTGACATTTACCCAGGAATCCAAAGGCAAAGATGTCCCCAAGTTGATACTGCTACCCAGTTCCTTAGGCCTAGCATCAGTCACTTGGGATAGCTTCCCTTGGTATATATCTGGCTCTGCCAACCTGGACTGTCCTCTTCTAGAGATCTCCCCATTAGGTAGCCCAGAGTCCATGGCAAAAGAAGGATGGTCAGCAGATTCTTCCCAGGAAGGTAGTTCCTCCCTACCATCCAGAGAAGGCTGTTGCTTTACCCATCGAGAGTGGTCTTTGCCTTGACCCTGGGGAAAAGGAGGCATTGGGTCAGATGGAGAAGAGTCCTTCCTTAAACCATTTGGAAAACCTTGGTCATGAAAACCTATAACATCCCGTGTGGAGGCACCCTGCATCTTCTGGAACTGCTCTGCCAATGAGCGCACTAGTCCCTTTGTGCTAGGGAACTCTGGCCTACAGGGGTCCTCACTGTCTCCAACTACTTTTGAAGACAACGAGGCTTGGAAGCTTTGGGCTTGGAGATACTGGTTAGTTTCCTGCACAGGATCAGTAGAGTGAAGCACAGGAGAAGAAGCAGCAGGCATTATGGGATGGTAGGCCCTGTAAGGGGGAATATTGGACTGAACTGATGAACTTGAAGGACTACAACCTAGGCTATGTGGATCGCCTCTCTCTGAAGTGGCTTCTCCTGTTGAGTGTGACCAAGGCATCTCCAAGAGTGCATCAGCAGGGTTCTTTTCTTCATACAGCTGTTCTTGAGCAATGCCCCTTCCGTCTTGTGGAGGGAACTTGCTGCAGATGCTATTGTTCTTGTGGCCTTGCAGCTTATCCTCAAGAGCATCCAATGACAGGCATTCATGCTGAGAATTCATCTCAATCCTCCCTGTTGATTTAGGTGAACCCTGCCTGTGGAATGCAGAGGGATCAATGCTGTCCACCTCAACCGAAGTCAGACACATCAACGTAGATCTGCTATGGGATCTGTACTGTGAAACAGATGGAGCAGGTGACTTTGGGAAGAGCGATGAGTGTGACTCATGGCAGGAAGCAGGTGAGTGGAAGAAAGCAGAACTGGCCCCAAACTCTGTATCCTTGCAGGGTTCCAGCTGGGCCTCCTGGCTTAACAATACTTTGAGCGGGATAGGCTGTTCACTACAACAAAAGGAGAGAACCAGTCATAAACTGTCTTGATTAACTGTAATACTTCCAAAAAGAACTATTCATTCCATTCCCATTTCTAGCTATCCACAGTGATAAAGCGAAATGGAAAGACAAGCACAAACAAAACCAATAGTTTACAGGTTGACAAAAGAGACAGGTTAATATTAATCTTCTATTGAAGACCATCACCAACATTGTATGTGTAGTATTGTCAAGTAGACACTTTGCTAATATTCTCCATTACCCATGAAGTCCCATTCCAATCACATTCTACTTGCAAATTAAAACATAAAAATTGCTAGTCTCACATGCAGATGACAGGAAGGTAAGGAAATCACTTCTACCAAACAGCAAAAATCCAGGCTGCTAGACAAGGAAGGAAACCCTACCTAGCATCCTATAGAATAGCCCAGTCAAAAAAACCAAGAAGATACTACTACAGAAAACAAAGTGGTTCAGGTTCACGTGTTACACAGAGGTTAACTACATGCTTTCATAATTCAAGTGTCACTGAATCCCTCACTCAGACATTTCTTTATGGTGATATACCATGAGTGATAAAAGGGACAAACTGGATTTAGTTGATTTATCACTAATTGTTTTATAAATAATGTAATCTTACAGGAAACCTCAACCTTTCCAACTGTGGATTTTGAGATTAGGTATCTAAAAGATCCAAAATTTTAAATGGTTCAAACCCTGAGCTCTTTTGAGTATAGACATCATATTGAAATCATTTGGGATCATGAGGCATTTCAAATTTTGATTTTAGGGTTGAGGATGTTCTACTAGTCTATGTAACTGTTCAAAAATCTGGAAGAAAAAAATTGAAATTTGAGCCAAGCACTAGTAGTGTAGTAGTGTACCCCTGTAATCTCAGCACTTGGGAAACAGAGGCAAGAGGACTGGTGTTTTTTAATTCTTGTTTTGTTTTTGGTTTGACCTTTTGAGATGAGGTCTCTCCGTAGCCCTAGCTGCCTAGAACTTGCTATGCAGACCAGGCTGGCCTTGATCTCACAGAGATCTGCCTGCCTCTACCTCCTGAGTGCTGAGATTAAAGGCATGCGCCACCCCTAGGAAGATTCTTTTGAAGCCAGTTTAGCCTGTCTAATGAGTTTCAGATAAGCTACTGAGTAAAAACCTATCACAAAAAAAAAAAAAAAAGCAAGAGACAGAGACTGACTCTGACTTATACATGGTCCCAAGCATTTTAGATAAGGAATACTCACCCTATACACGACTATTAGAAACATTTCTGAGTTTAGTCACCCAGTCTTTTTTTTATATATATTTTATTATTTTATGTGTATGAACGTTTGGCCTGCAAGTATGTAAGTGCACCATGTGTGTACAGTGCCCGGAGAGGCCAGAAGATGGTGTTGGAGCCCCTGGAACTAGAATTATGGATGGATGTTAGCCACCATGTGGATGCTGGGAATCAAACCCAGATCCCCTGGAAGAACAGCAAGTGTTCTTAATCACTGAGCCATCTTTCCAGCCCCCTCACCAAGTCTTATAAAATGAAAATGTAATATTCTAATTAAAAAAGGGAAATCTGGCCTAGGAATGTAACTCAGTTAATAGAATGCTGGACTAGAATGCAGGATGCCTTGGCATTTGATCCACAGCACTGCATAAACCAGGGTGGTGTTATCAGGCCTGTAATCCTGGCATTCTAGAGATGTAAGCAGGAAGATCTAAGTAGAGCTCAAGATCATCCAGACCCTGGCTACCTTGCTATATAAGACTCTGCCTCAAAGAGAGGGAGGGAGGGAGGGAGGGAGGGAGGGAGGGAGATGTGCTTTGGCATTAAACAGATCTGGATTTGAATTCTACACTTTAACAATTTACTAGCTAGGTAATCTGGGGCTCTTAACTCTCTCTGCCAAGTTCCCTTATTTATAAAGTATGCTAAATAATAGACCATATTGCATCCAGTTATTGTGGTAACAAAATAAAGTTCTTAGCTCAAACCTGAACCTGGACAAATGATCAAAAAATGTTACCAACCATGATGGGATTGACAATCAAAAAAAACCAAACAGAGCAGAGGTTGTAACTCATAGTCGAGCATTTACCTAGCACATACAAGGCCCTAGTTCCATCTCAAGCAACAGTGAGAGACAGAGAGGACTACTTTTATTATATTTTGAAAATTACTCAAATTAATTAATAGCCCAAAATTATTTACTCTAAGAACAAGCTAAATTTAAACCCCTAAAATGTGGGAACTAACCCAGTGCCCACTGGGACTTTTTCCTAGTCATGACCTTAGAGAAGCAAACAAAGAGAATCTTTATGTCTCTTCTCTATGATTTAATCAAAGCAAGGCAGACTGTGTTTTGTCTCCTTGAGGGATTAGAAACATTGAAATCCCAAAATAAATCAACCAGTTGCTACTACAACATGAAAGATAGCCCAGATTACCATGTCTAAGAACATAATAAATACAAATATAATAATCACTTTGTTACACAGGTCTATTCTTTTGTACCTTTGGCATCTTTCCAGGAACTATTAAGAAAATGACCATCAGTGCAATGAGCTTTTCACTGTATGTCTGACCTGAGAGAAGAAAATCTTTGCAGTGGACTCTTCTCTCTTCCCTGGGAGTAGCCAAGATAAGAGCTCTTGCTATGGAGTACCCATGGTCACTTCCTCCCCTGACGTCCATAAACTAATGTAGTTCTCAAGCACTACCTTGTCAGCTGAGGGAGGGCGCCCCCCTGTGATGGGAGAGAGGCTGAGGGCTGCACCGGCTGCTGCGATGACAGTTGCTGCTGCATGCGATCCTGCAGGCTCCGTGCTTTTCGAATACTGATTTGCAACTTCTTATCGACTAGGGCTCTGCTGTGCGTGCTAGAGCTGGCACCATGCAGGGCAAGTCTTAGTTTAGCTAAAATGCAAAAGAAAATATAGCAGAAACAACACAAAATACAAACAAAACTAAAAGAATAAAAACTCAACCAAAAACAAGCAAAAATAGGCTATAAAACAAAATATGCAGCAGGAATGCAAGGCATGGACCATGCATATGCTGTCCAGGGCACAGAACTGGCTCTAGAGCTAAGGAACATTCATGGAAGCCATGGAGACCAAACAGGTTAATTCAAATTTAAACAAACAAAGGACTAAAGAAAATAAAACAAAAATGAAAAGGAACCAGAAGAATATACTAGCGCTTAGCTATTGCCAGTCATCCTTTCCAACCGACCTGTCAACTCTGGTCTCCAAACTCTTCCCAATACCCCCTTTCCTGATAGCCAACAGCAGAAATAAGATTCAAACCTGCACCTGTCTCTAGAGGACAGATTCTTGTGGTAGCAATCAACAAGCATGTAAGAGCCAAGTACCTATTCAAAGCCTTAGTCCCTTGCTGTACCAGGACAGTACTGCATACCAGGAAGGTGGGAGAAATAAAAAGATAAACTGTAGTGAAAAGTTACTGGCCTAGGAAGCCAGAGCCAATTTATTCCATTTTCCTCCTCACTAATCAGCAACTAGAGAAAGAGCAGACTAACTGCATATCTGAAATTTATCTTTGGATAAGATGGTAGAGACAGTTTGAGGATTTGACTGTGGCTTCCTGCTGAGGTTATTTCAGTGAATATCCACAGGCCACAATGAGCACCAGGGACATTTCCAAATCTCAAGGGTAAAGAGAGATAAGGACCTCGGCTTAGGAGCATGAGACGTAAAAGCTGTTCATATGGCTATCTGAGTGACAACACTAATACCTACTGTGAAGTTAGTCAAAAATGCCATAGCCATAGCAGTTAGAGTTACTTACAGATAGCTTCGTTACAGAGAGCCAAAGCTGCAGCACAGTCTCCCTTTTGTTCCAGATGCAGCGACTCTTCAAATATTGAATTTGCCTCTTGCAAGGACCTTTCAAAGCCGTCACTCCTCCCTGAAAGGGCCAGCACTTTTCATTTTCATTACAATTAATTCCAATTTTTTGTTTGTACTGTTGCTTCCCTTTAGGACACACAGATCCTTGCTGTTGTGATCAACTCTTTCTAACTGTCCATCACTATTAAGAAGTCTCTGGAGCTGGGTGTAGGTGTACACTTTAAATCTGGCTCTCAGGAGGCAGAGGCAGATCAAGGCCAGCCTGGCCAGCTGGGACTACAAGGAGACCATGTCGGAAGGGAGGTAGGGAGGGAAGTCAATCAGTCCGTCAGTCTCTGGAACAAGTAAGGCATCCATTTTTGCCTTAACTGAGACCTTCCCAAGGCCATGAAAGGGAAACATGCTCATATTCCAACTCTAAGATATCCTCAAGGAAAGAACAAAGTACTGCCTATAGCAGCAACATGGTTCTTATGCCTGAAACAGAACTATTTTTCCACATTATAAAAGGATATATCTGCCAAGCGTGGTGGCACACGCCTTTAATCCCATCACTTGGGAGGCAGAAGCAGGCGGATCTCTGTGAGTTCAAGGCCAGCCTGGTCTACATAGTGCATTCCAGGACAGCTGGGGCTATAGGGAGACCCTGTCTCAAAAAGACCAAAAAAAAAAAAAGATACATCTTGTCAACTACTGTCAGAACATGCCAGACTTCTACTGCTATTATAACAACATGGTTTAACTATTCAGTAGAAAGTCACACACACAACTTCTTCACTACATCAGCAATCCTCGCTTTAGTGGTTTGAATGAGAAGTTTGTCCTATAGGCTCAAGTATTTGAACACTTGGTCAGCTGGTGGCACTGTTAGGGAAAGTCATGGAACCTTTAGGAGGTGTGGCCTAGCTGAAGGAAGTGCATCACTGGAGACAGGCTTTAACAAGTGCATAGCTTTCACCCACTTCCAATTTCACCTTCTATGCTTCCTCTTCGCCCTTGGAAATGTGAGCTTTCAGCATCTGTTCTGGCTACCCGCTGCCTACATACTTCCTATACCATTATGGATTCTCCAATTGTAAGCCCAAATAAACTTTTTTTCTGTAAGTTGCCTTGGTCATGGTGTTTTATCAGAGCAACAGGAAAGCAACTAAAACACCATTCAGTACTGTCAGTACACCTCTGGGGTGGAGGTGGTCTACAGTTTCTACCTCAATAGATCTACTGCATCAATTGAACTGCATTTGTTATTACATAAGACAGACCTTTCTTTAATAATGCTAAGTTTTTACTTTTATCATGCCTTGCTCACCAAAACTACTGCTAGAAAGTCACCTCCCATACAGCAAGCATAGTGTATTTCTTCCTCTTTCCAAAGTACATTTGGGTCAAAGCAGGTTCACAAGAGTAGTGGAAGGATAATGTCAGATGAAAAGGCTAGGAAGTACAGCAGAGGCAAGATCATGAATGACCATCAAGTGAATGTATCCTCTTGTCTTCTACTCACTTGAAACCACAAATTGGTAAGAAGTTAAAATGTTAATTCACAAGCCAGGCGTGGTGGCACATACCTTTAATCCTAGCACTTGGGAGGCAGAGGCAGGCATATCTTTGTGAGTTCAAGGCCAGCCTGGTCTGCATAGTGAGTTCCAGGACAGCAGGGGCTACAAGGAGACCCTGTCTCAAAAAGACGAAAAAAAAAAAAAGTTAATTCACCTACAATTGGAATTGACACTGAGCCTTCGCAAGGTCACAGAGGTGGGAAGAATCAAATTTCAAGCCATGCATGGTGGCACATGCCTATAATTCCAGTATTCTGGAGGTAGAGGCAAGAAGATCCAGATCTATATAGCAAGTTCCAAGCCAACCAGGGCTACATAGTGTGACCCTGTCTCGCCCAGAAAAAAAAAAAAAAAAAAAAAAAAAAAAAAAAAAACCAAAAAACAAAAAAAGAAATGAAACAGAATAAAAAAATCTGAGTCATTTCTTTTCATAAAATCACTCTCCCCCATCCTCAATTTACCTCCAGATAGACATAAGAAACGTTCTTCTATACTCTTAACAGTCACTTTCTATGACACTGTCACTTTCAGAGAACAAGAAGATGGTAGAAAGTAGTCAGGTTCTACCCCATTTCTAGAGTTCTGATTTGCCCATGCCCAAGGCCCAAAGGTCTCTCATGAACAATGTAACCAACTAAATCTAAACATCTTCACAAGGTGGTGGCCTAATACAAAAAAAAAAGTTTCCAGCCAGGTATAGGGGTGCATACCTATAATCTCAGCACTCAAGAGGTCAAGACAGAAGGATCATGAATTGGGGTTTAATCTGGGCAAGATAGTGAAAGTTCTCAACTTTACAAGGATCTAGGCAAACTACAGTTAATGAATCAATGTTCTAGATTTAAATTCCATCATCCAGAATCTGAGGACTCCCGGCTTTGCTCTTCTAGGTGAGCCTGAACCAAAATTTTCGAGAACTAACAATGAAACAGAAATCAGTGGGAGTTCTTCTCAACTGCAGTAAACTGTTTAAGTAAGACAGTAGGGAAAAACAAGGAGAAAGATGACAAGATCCCTCTTTCTGAAGTAATATGACCTTGAAGCCAGTCATGGAAGCATGGCTGCAATCTCAGCACTTGAGAGGAGGTCCACCACAAGTATGAGGCCAGTTCAATCCACATAATGAGGTCTAGGCCAGCAAGGACTATACAGTGATGAATCATGGTCTCAAAACAGCAACAAAAGATGCTGAGGCACTAGCTCAGTTGATAAAGTGATGGTCTTGCAAACGTGAGGACCTGAGTTTGATTCCCAGAATACACATGAAAAAAGCAAGGCATGAGAGGGACCATTTGTACTCTGAGCACTGGGGAGGCAGAGGGGCAGAGTCAGGTAGGTTCTTGGGGTTCACTGCCAACCAGAATAACCTACTTGGTAAATTTGAAACCAAAGAACCTATCTCAAAAAAAAAGGTGGACAGGTCCTCTGGTGTCCACATGCACGGGCACAGACATGTGTACCAGCACACACACACACAAAGAATAATATAAACCCAGAACACCAAAAGGATAAAGCTTGAGGTCAAAAATGATAAAAAAAAAAAAAACTATCCAAATACAGAAACAGCTAAGAAGAACTGATGATTTAAATCTCATTTTGAAACAAATATAACTTGAATCAAAAAGAAGGGGGCAGCACATGTAGTTTGGTGGTAGAGAGCCTGGCACATATGAGACCCTGGGTTCAATCCCCAATATCACAAAAGGAAAAATAAAGGGGAAAAAATGTAGAATTCAAGGAGAAAAGCTGCCCCAAACAAGACTGCTTAGTCCAGAAAGCTACTTTAAAGTGTGTATGTGTGTGTGTGTGTGTGTGTGTGTGTGTGTGAGAGAGAGAGAGAGAGAGAGAGAGAACCAACAAAATGAGCCACCCAAACATTACTGACTCCTAGACTTTATACTTTTTTATGAGAAGATTCTGAATAAGAAGAACAATAAATTCATTTTATAGGAAGAAAAACTGAAATAAATACTTTACAACCTATTTAAGAAAGATACTCAGTTTGCCGAACACCTATTTTGAAGGTTAGTCTCCTGGTACAAGGTAAGAAACTGAAACTAGTTCTTAAGGGGGACAGGGGTGACTAACTCAGGGCAGTTTGGGAAGCTTAGGTCTATGCACATCAGATGAGACTGGAAAAGAACTGTCATAGGATCAAAACTAAATTAGGGTTGGGTGTGGTGGTGTGTATCTATAATCCTAGTTACCTGCCATCTTTCTGCATCAGCCACCTAAGTAGCTGGGATCACAGGCCTGTGCCACCAAGTCAACCTTCCTGACTTGAAGTCAGCTCTACCTTTTGCCATCTGTGTTATGTTTCTGTGTCTCAGTTTTCTTATTTCCTAAAATGTTGGGAGCAGAAGCAAGAAGATCCAAGTTCAAGGCCTGCTTGGAAACTCCATTTGGAAAATAAACCAAAACCCAAAATCCAATCAGTGAATTAGGGGCTAGGAGTATAGAGAGCGTGCCTGCAATGTATGGCCTTGCTCTGAATCCCCAGCACTACATTAAAGAAAAAGTCACCACCTTTTTTTGCTTTCTCAGTTAAGACTTTTTTTACTTACGCATTTTATAAATGATTATGGAAAACGTTTTCCCTGAGTAACAATCTACCTCTAACCTACAGCCTTTTAATAGGCATACCTAGAGGTCATGTAATCTCTAATCAATAAGCTGGTCATTTCATACTTTGGCTCTCACTGGAATGGTGGGTAAGACACAAGCACACAACCTACTTTTTGTCTTTTCTCTCTGTCCCCAGTACCCACAGCCTAATTCTCACAACAATTACCCTGATTCTGTAGTTCATCCAAGTCCATGTATCGGCTGGGATGAGGGTTAAACCCTTTAGCAGCCTCTAATTCCTTCTCCCGTTTCCTTCGAAGCTCTTGCTCCTGGGCCCTTCTGGTCACCTCTTCCTGTAGCTCATCCAGCTCACTTTTAGAGGATATCTCCTCACCTGGAGTACAAGCAAAAGAGAAGGTAAATCACAACATTTCTAAAATCAAGATAAAACATCTGCTGAATTTCCAGTCACTGTGCCATTTTTCCTTTAGAACTCTTGCCCACCCCCTGCCCCCCCCTCTTTTTTTCCAGTCTTTTTGAGACAGGGTCTCTGTAACACGGCTTGCCTGAAACTCATTATATAGACCAGGCTGGTCTTGAACTCACAGAGATCTGCCTGCCTCTGCCTCCCAAGTGCTGAGATTAAAGGTGTGCACCACCACACCTGCCATTCTTGCCTTCCATTTGAAGTTCATGTTTTATATAGTGCCTTCCTTATCAGATTCAAGGTGAAACTTGAGGCATAAATAATAGTAAAAATGTATGTTTTTTCAACATTTCATAACAATAACAGCTTAACTCCTAACATTTCTGAAGTATTTTCAATGTACTAACAAATGTTTTAAAATACTTCTACATATATTACTTCATCTAATTCTCACACCTGATGGGGTAGACACCCATTTTTTCCATTTCAGGAAATAAGAAAATTGACATACCGAAAGGTAACACAGATGGCAAATAGTAGAGCTGACTTTAAGTCAAGAAGTTTAAAGTCAGCTGGGGTTGGGACACAGACCAGTGATCTCAGCTACTCAGAAGGCTGATGCAGAAGAATACCAAGTTCAAGGTCTGCTTGGCTTACAGAGTGAGTTTAAAGTCAGTCTGGGCAACTTAGTGAGACCCTATCTCAAAAACTATCTGGACATACTAGCTAAAAACTTATCCCAGCACTCATGAGATTCAGATAGAAGAATTGCCCTGAGTTTAAAGCCAGTCCAGGCTACAAACAAAACAATACCAGCATAAAAGATGCTTAAATAAGCCGGGCGTGGTAGCGCATGCCTTTAGTCCCAGCACTTGGGAGGCAGAGGCAGGTGATCTCTGAGAGTTCAAGGCCAGCCTGGTCTACATAGTGAGTTCCAGGACAGCTGGAGCTACAGGGAGATCCTGTCTCAAAAGACCGAAAAAAAAAAAAAAAAAAAAAAAAAAAAAAAAAAAAAAAAAAAAGATGCTTAAATATAGCTCAGCTAGTAGAGCACTTAGCTAACATGGGTGACCCCTGGGCTCAGTCCCCAGTAGGTTAAATTCATGACCCATTCTCTTAACCAGTAGGAAGCAGTGCTGTCACAGACTCACCAGGGCACCTTAAGCAAGTCATTTTTCTCACCTTCAAGTTCCACCATTTCTTTAATGTTTACAAAATAGTCATAATAAAAACTTGTCTTTAAGAAGTTCATAGATGAGCCAAGCACAGTGGCGCACGCCTTTAATCCCAGCACTTGGGAGGCAGAAGCAGGCAGATCTTTGTGAGTTCAAGGCCAGCCTGGTCCACATAGTGAGTTACAGGACAGCTGGGGCTACAGGGAGACCCTGTTTCAAAAAGACAAAAAAATAAAAATAAAAAAAAGTTCATAGATGAATCTAAATAGATTGAGAATGATGTTCACGATAAATTAAGTAAAAACCTGAGTGAAATAATAGTATGTATAATATGACTTCATTTTAGTTCTTAAAAATAGTGGTGGCCTGGGCTGGAGAGAGGGCTCAGCTGTTAAGAACACTCACTGCTCTTGCAGAGGACAGGGGTTTTGTTCCCAGCACCCACATGGTGGCAAACAACTGTCTGTAACTCCAGTTCCAGTGGATTCAATGCCCTCTTCTTACTTCTGTGGGCATTGCATGACACAGGTACAATTATACACATGCAGGTAATACACTCATACATATAAGATTAAAAAAAAAACAACAGTGGCTTCCCAAATGAACTTACACAAATTTATCTATACATTTATAGAAGCAAGTTACTGAATTGCTGGACCTAATTTACTTCTGTAGATTTTGTTTTCGTGTGTGTGGTGTGTGTGTGTGTGTGTGTGTGTGTGTGTGTGTGTGCTCATACGTGGATACATGTGCATATGGTTGGTGAACAATGTTGAGATAACTTTGTTAAACGTCTTTTGCCAGTTGAGACATCTTACTAGTAGAGTCTATTCAGCTGGTACAGAATTGAGGACTAATAGGGAAAACCATAAGACTCCATTTTATTACAATGAGAAGGTGCTGCCTATCTGAAGGTGCATTTACAAGTTTCTTAAAGTATTATTACTCAACACAAAATAAATTAAAAGATGGGAAATAAACCCAATGTATAATTTCATCAGGAAGCAGTAATTCCTTTCATTAGTCCATAACTTTAACTTAATCTAACTAGTATTCCAAATGCATCTGTCTCTATAGACATTTCTCTGTTCTAACAGATGTCAGCAATCTACAACATGCATACCTATATAGTCTCATGCCTTTTTTTAGCTGTTTCTGCACACCTTCCTTCCAACCATCTCTAAGAACTTTTAGTAATTGTCCAGAGAACTGGTGATGAGTCTATGACACAGACAGAAGCAAGGTACAGTAAACTTGAACTGTTAATTTCAGTTTTGTCCACATGTTTGTTTTGTATCTCAATTTATAGTACAAATCAATAAAAAAATTGATTTCTCAAGGGGCTGACCCCAGGCTGAGGAAAGCCCTAGGACTTATTCCTCTAAGGACTGGAGCCGTTATTACCACATGTCTATCTCTTCTTATTTCCAGAAAGACTTTATCCAATGTGAAAACATTCAGGCAAGCTGTAGAGAACAAAAAATAGACAAACAGAACAACAGGGAAACTGAATAGCCTATACATTTATATAGGGGGGAGGCGTATGTGTAAGGGTGTATGTGTGTGTGTTCCCATGTATGCAGGTGTACATGTGCATGAGTATGTATGGAAGCCAGAGATCAAATTTGAGTGTTGTCCTCAGCTACCATCTACTTTTACCTTTTCTTTTTTTTTTTCTTTTTTGAGACAGGGTCTCCTTGTAGCCCCAACTGTCCTGGAACTCATTATGTAGACCAGGCTGGCGTCAAACTCACAAAGATCCGCCTGCCTCTGCCTCCCAAGTGCTGGGATTAAAGGTGTGTGTTACCACGCCCCGCAACCTTTTCTTTTTTTGAGAAAAGGTCCCAATGTGTAGCCCTGATTGGCCTGGATCTCACTACACAGACCAAGCTGGCCTCAAACCCACAGAGATTCACCAGTCATTGCCTCTTCACATTCAGTCCACTTTAGTTTTTGAGACAGGATTTCTCACTGTGACCCAGGGCTTACTGATTTGGTTAGGCTAGCTGGCCTATAAGCGCTAAGAATTCCTCTACTCAACATGCTGGGAACTGAACTGGTCCTCATGTTTGCGTGGCAAGCACTTAGTAACTGAACTATCTCCCCAGCACCCTACATTATGATGGAGTTCTCAAACTGCAACATTCCTCTAGTTCAAATATGCTTAGTAAGACTGTTTACAAAATAGAATTGGTGGTCAAATCCAGTCTGCCAAAACCAGTATTTCTGGCTTACCTGAGAGGGGTTGAGTCTTTGTCCAGGCACTCAGAGGAACTGCGGAGTCTACCTCCAGGAGGCTACTGCTGTGAGACTTCGGGATATGACGCCAAGAAGGGACAAATCCAACTAATCTCTTTGCACTTTGATCCCTTCAAAAGAGAACCCAAAGTATAGTAGAAGCATAAAAGGGTGGTTGCTAGCAGTATTCCCAACACTAAAATCTGAAAACATAAAGCAAACATGAAGCGTGGAAGCCAACTGTCTTGGTGCAAACCCACAATACAAGATACTCCAGAGGCTGAGGGAGAATGACACCAGCCCAGTAGTTCCAGGCATGGGCAATAGAGCAAGGATTCACCTCAGATTTAGGGTTGTTTTTAAGGATTATTTATTTTTATTGTTATGCTTTGTTTGATTTCATGTATGTGTAGCTGGTATGTGTGCAGTGCCTGTAGAGGCCAGAGAAGGGAAATGGAGCCACATATGGGTTCTGGGACTGGAACTTGGGCCCTCAGCAAGAACAGGAAGTACTCTTAACCACTGAGCCATCTCTCCAGCCCCATCTCAGATTTTAAAAAGCTTCTGCAATGACATTATATGGGGAAATCACCATTTCTGCTTATGCTTATTGAAAGCAGAGATTCTGGGAGTGAGGAGGCCCTCCCTCATCTCCAAAACTCTCTTTTCTGAGAAAGAAACTAACACTATAACAAAGAGAAAGGAAAACAGCAAGCAAGTAAAGGTGTTAAAAATATTGTGTCCTACAAAAAACTGAGAGGGAGTGGGGGAACATGGGAGGAGTTGATAGGAGACTAAGAGGGAGGGAAATAAATGCAAAGGCAATACTCATGTAAGAAACTCTCAAAAATAAAATTTAAAAATGTAATAATAGAGCCGGGCGTGGTGGCACATGCCTGTAATCCCAGCACTTAGGAGGCAGAGGCAGAGGCAGGTGGATCTCTGTGAGTTCAAGGCCAGCCTGGTCTACATAGTGAGTTCCAGGACAGCTGGGGCTACAGGGAGACCCTGCTTCAAAAAGACAAAATAATAATAATAATAATAATAAATAAATCTTTAGCCGGGTGTGGTGGCGCATGCCTTTAATCCCAGCACTCAGGAGACAGAGACGGGCGGATCTCATTGAGTTCAAGGCCAGCTTGGTCTCCATTAGCGAATCCAGGCCAGCTGCCGCTACAGG